AGCCCGCTCAGAGATGTGTATAAGAGACAGATATAGAACTAATAAAGAATAGCGTCTCATTCGTATAATCTTTATTCTTTTCTGAGTGAAAAGTTCAAAAATTATTTTACATCTTACACACGCTTCCGCGTACGTGCACACACTTTAACGCACTCCCGAGATACCGACACGCAAGACGAAGACAATCTTACAACGACGGTAATGGCGGTAATGCCCCGGGGCTCGTTTCGAGCGCGACCGCACTCTCGACGACCTACGACACGCGGGGAGAAGGCCCCTCGTACTTGGTGTCGCCTGCACGCGCTGCACTAAATCCGCTATGCGCCCTGCGCAGCGAACGAAACCAACGCAAACACGAATGCGTGCAGACGGCGACCCCAGAGCACGAGCGCAGTCCCCTCGGCGTGCTCGTGGCCTTACACAAATAACGCGCACGGGCAACCTCACTGGCTTCGTCGACGTTCCTCTTGCTCGTCGGATCCCTGCGTCACTCCGGGCCGGAAAAAAACAGAAAGACTTTGGCGCTCGCACGGACCGTGAGCGTCCACATAGGCTCACAGGCGGAAACGAAATCTCCCTGGATCGCGATCGACCGCGCGATCGTTGGTCCGTTCCCCCCTTACGGGTGCGCGCAAGAACGATTCGCAGTGTTGTGGCCAATGAACTGCGGCCGCGTGATTGAGCACGGGCAACGCCGTGCGTAGCCGAATCCTGGGAGATCCTTCGGCTCCCGACTTCTTGAAGATGTTAATATCTTCGGTCCGCGGTGTTTCCTGTGACACCCGCAGCACCGTAGTCGCCACCCCTGGCAGCTCCTCCGCGCTCGTAGATCATCCTTAGACCCGATCGCCGCTGGTCGTCCCGCGCACCCATATCGCGGGGCGCTCGGCATAATCGCGATGGTCTTCCCTGTCGCCTCGCCAATTCGCCAAATTGTTCCTCGCATCTTTCAAATTTCCCGGACCTGTCGCTCTTCTGGGATGATCCAGTGACGGCCTCTCTTCTCGTCTTCCAGGAAGGTTCGGTGAGGCGCCGTAGATTACATGCAAATGAATCGAGAATAAGTACGCGGTTCAACGCAACGTGAGACTCCCGGGAAATTTCGGCTTTTCTATTCCTTTCCGGCCCGGCCTTGAGCGCTTAAACGCCTTTTGTGACGGGGAAGCGACGGTACTTCTCTGCAGCGGAGCTATCACGTCACACTGTATAAGATATTAAGTACTCCGAAGAAAAGATAGAAAAAAACAGTTCCGGTTGATTGATATATGAATTGACAAATAAAGTAAGTCTTAATATACCTATCGACACATTTCTAATCGATTTAAATTCGTTAGGATTAAATCGATATTAATAATACTCAATAACTCATAAATATTTAAAATACATGTTGGTATTGTATTTTAAAAATGTATTTCAATATAGATTAAAACTCTTAAATATGATTGATATCGATTAAAACCTGATATATTTTAATTGATTTGGAATGTTACAATGCATATTAATATTTACTTAAGAAAATTTATCAATTGGAATTGCTCTCTTGTATAAGTGAGTTATATATTAGGTAAATATTATATATTATATTATATATTAGGTAAAGTATTAGTAAATATTATATTATATATTAGGTAAAATATATTAGGTTAAAGACACATTGGCTACGTTTACATCATGCGACCTGACCTATACCCTGATCTAAAATAGGCCTCCAACTAAACGTTTACATCATGTTAGACCCATGACACTTTTGGACCTAATATAGGCCGCATTTAATCCTCATGTGAATGCCATCTATTGAGTTATACATGAGGTACATCTGCGATACAATTAAATCGTTTATATATCTGTTTTATTTAGAAGGTATAATTTATGTTTAGAAATAGATGTGTTACAGTACGCAACGCTTTTCAAAAGCATGATCGAAATAATTGTAATACAAAATAATAAATGGCGAACTGCCCGATGATTGCAAATTAAACTTAGAAGACAGCAAATACGGAAAAAAATTTATTTGCAAATTAAAAGATTCCAGAATCTGATAACATTACAGCATCATATGTTATTATCACCGATGAATATTGCGGACATCTGCTTTTTAGATAGAAGACGTTTTTGGATGAAACGCAGAAGCTATCACTTTTGGAATGATGTCTTAAATTCATATGATGAAGCACAATGGCTTGAAAGTTTAGAATGCGAAAAAATACATTTGACAGACTATGTAATATTCTCGAATGTGAACTAGAACCGAAGCTTGTTTTCTTAAAGTCTAGAGAACCACTTTCGGTGCAAAAATAAGTGGCTATTGTTCTGTACAAGTTGGCAAGTTGCGCAGAATATTGAGTTGTTGGTAATATCTTTGGCGTGCATAAATCTACGGTGAAGAAATGCAGAGTTGTAAATGCTATCAACAAAATAATAATGAGAGATTACTTACATATACCAAACGAATTTGAAGCTATAGAAATAGCAAATAATTTTGAGAAAATATGCCACATACCTCAAATTATTGGGTGTATCGATGGATCACACGTACCTATATTGGCTCCTGCTAAAGGCTACAGAGATTATGTGAATCGAAAAGGCTGGCCTTCATACAATTTTCAAGCAGTTATCGATGACAGATGCAGGTATATTAGAAGCAAACTATCTTTATATATATTTTTATGTTTATATATCATTAATGTTATTCATATTTTACATTTATAGATTTAGAGATATTTGCATCCGACACCCTGGAAAAAACTCACGACGCTGCAGTATTTAAAGACTCTAATCTGTACAAAAATGTACATACAATGATTCCACAAATACGATAAATACAATGAGGTACATCTGCGATACAATTGCTTATTAAAGTAATTTATTTAAAAGTAGTGATTACAATTTGTGAATTTTTAATTCAACATAAAGTATATTTATTTTATGCTAAATAACATATGTAAGGACTTCATTCTAATTAATTAATAATAATTATTACAGGTAACCAAAAATATTAATGGTATGGAAGTGCCATATCTGATTGTTGGAGATCCAGCGTATCCCTTATTATCATGGCTAATAAAAGATTATCCTGGTTTCGCACTGCGGAACCAAGATAATCCAACAAGATTCTTTTAATGTACATTTTAATTCTGCTAGAGTTCGCGTGGAAATGGCTTTTGGCAGATTACGAAGACGCTGGAAAATTCTTCTGAAAAGAATAGATGTATCATATATATTTGTTCCGAATATAATCAGTGCGTGCTGCATTCTACATAACTTTTTAGAATACACAAATGAACAGTTTGTGCAGCAATGGCTTGAACATGTGGCTGAAGCAAAAATAATGATTCCACAACCAGATAATGCAATTAATCGAGAATGTAACAATATTTTTGGTTCAGATATTCGTCAGCACTTAACAATATATTTGTCACAAAATTTTCCGTTACGTCGAAGTTTAATAAGACAAACGCATAATTAATATAAGAATAACTATAGAAATGAATTATAAGATATACTATAAAAATATTATAAAAATATTATATTAAAAATTTATTTATATTTCTGCTCATCACTATAATTAATGTAAACTTAAACAACTAATATAAATATAAATATACCAATGTATGAAAAACTTATTATAACTGAGCATTAAAAACTTTTATAAAGATTGAATAAACTTATAAACTTTCTGAACTTATTACTTATACTATACTTATTATTACGGCTGATATTAGTGACAAAGAAATTTATTCAATTTTTTTGTCACTAATCGGCAAAGGCTGTGGTGATTTAATTGGAACAAAATACATGTTTTGTGAAACAGGCGATGATGAAACTTGATCATTATTCGAGGAATTTTCTAGCGAGGAAGAAGGTCGTGACCTTAGTGTAATATAATCTGATGTAGGAGATGGAGATGATAAAACTGATACATTTGGAGATGTTTGCGAAAATATCGACGAACTACTATTTGAGTTACGTGATAACATTGATGACGAAGGATTGCACATTAAACTACTTGGTGTATTTGAAGAAAATGCGGAAGATGTAGGGAATTGAAGTGTCGAATAAAAGGCCATATATTGCTGCTGAATTGTTGAATGAGATAGATTCTGCTGAATCATTTGCAGTCCTTTTAGAAATCCGTTCATGAGCATATTCATCTGTTGCATTGATGATCATGTTTCTTTTGCATCATTTCAATCTCCTATTTCCTTTGTTCTTCTGTTTGTGCTTGCAAAGATTTTGCAAGTAACATGTTTTGCTTCTTAAGAACTCCATGAAACACCTCAGCTTGTTTTTGGACAAACGTTTCACTATATTGCTCTGCCCTCTTTACATTAGACAGCCGTCCTTTATAAATGAAAACAAAATATTCCATAAGTACGCCTTTCATAAAATATTTAGTATATTAATCAAAATCAGTTGATTTCAGTAAATTAATTTTTCTGTCTAGACTACACAAATATCTAAAACTAACCTTCAGTTTTCTGTTTCTTTCTACCTGAAACAACGGGATGTAAATCTACTTGAGTATTCACGGGATGAAAATCTACTTGTGTATTCACGGGTTGTGAATCTGCTTGAGTATTCAAAGACATCCGTAGCAATAAATTTGACATCATCGTCTGTTTTTTCTAAAATATAAATATATATAAATATAAATAATTTATACAAAATATAAATGTAGTAATATAAATAAAATAATCGAAAAGGAAAAAATATGCATATACATACATATAATTTCCAAATTTTGACTTTTAGATTCAATACCATCTATTGCTTGAACTGATGTCGACCACCAAGCAATTCGTCCATTGCTTCAAAATATTGAATGGACATACGGTCATGCCCACTGACAGAATTATATCTCTTGCACTTGTAGTACATTTCTTTTAAATGTTTCATTTTCGATTTCATTTGTGCACCACTTTTATTGAAACCAGCGTTTAACATGTCTGTTTCTAAAGATTTATAAATATCGATATGTTTATATCTTCTTTCATTCATCAAAGTTAAAATTCGTTTCTCGATACACAATTGGATGAATTAATTGGTTTCTTTTTCTGATCAATTAATTCCTTTTTTCCTTCTAATATTAATTGATTTTTCTAACGCAGTTTCTGTGTCATGTATGTCCAAGTTTTTATTCTTATAGGCATCATGCATATGCATATCCACCAAACTTTCGTTGGTATCAGGTTCTGCACACAATAGAAACAATATTATCAAATAAATAAATAATGATATAAACGTAAATAATGATGCAAACAATCTCGACATACCTTTTAATTTTTCAGATGTACTGCACGAGTATTTTTTTCATTTTTCACACAGAAAGTCACTTAAAAATTCGAGTATAAGACGCAACGTGTAGACTATAATCTTATTATTCAATTTCTTACGGACCTTTCTTACGGCTTTCGAACATCAACAAATAGCTAGTTTTGAGAGCGCAAATTCGAGGTGCGGACAGAATTCGATCTGTATGAGAATATCGTAGAAGCCCCGACAAGAGACCGTGTAACGCCCACGCGATTGCTCTGCTATATTCGCTTCTACACACGAGTCATATACGATTGTCCCCTGTTGTCCGCTTTTACGTTTGTACCTGGGAACGATGATGAACAGGGCAACCTCCCGTGGATAAAAGAAGATCCATTCTAACGAATGTTCCTCGTTTAATTTATGTCGCCGTTTATCAAACGGCGGGATGAAAACGTAAGCGAAATGGATAATGAAACGAACTTCAGAGTGAATATGTAGTTTTTAGTATAACGCGCTCGCAAAATACTCCGTCGTTTTTGGAATAATCGCGATTGGTACACCGGAAAAAAAATTTTTTTGACAATCTGATACGAAATTGTCACAATTACGCACATTTATTATATACAAAACTTATAATACATAGCCATCTACTAGTGTATATTTGTACTTTTAGGCTGTTTAGTCTACCTGCGTTTACACGCGTTATGACGTGCGACCCAAAATGGATCAGAGATCGTAAAAAAGAAACCCGACTCAAGCCAGATTGGGTCGCTTCACAACTGTTTACATCGTCATGCCCTATCGTGTTTAGGTGAAATATAAGGTATAGGTCGCGGACTAAACGTGCGGTGTAAACGTGGCCATTATCTATTTAATTTCACAGGCCCATTTTTCTCCCAAAATGTGGGAAAAATAGATGGCAAACTCAAATCTTTGAAATTAAATGCCATGTCCACAATTTTTTGAAATCTAAGTGCTATGGCTGCAACAGGTATATATGTATAATAAAACATATTTCGGTATCAACAAATTCGTGTATCAAGACATTGTAGTAAGTGTTAATATTTGCATAATAATAATATTTGCATTACCAGTTTCCCTGGAAAAACGTCCACATGATCCACGGCAGTTTTCCAAGTATTGAGCAAAATGATCCGGATCGTGTATCTGCACGCGCGTTCGGACCATTAGTGCGAATGGCGTCCTAGGTTCGCAAACGATTTTACATGCGAGATCCTTAGCCGAAATAAATTGCGATACAACCAATCTGTTGCAATTGGTTGTATCGCGTATCTGGTAAACGAAACGTTCCTTTGAAAATGCGTTCTCGGCATCTTCATAAAAGGAGACGCACGTTCGTCCACCAGCAGCTCGGACCTTGTCGTGCTCATCATTTTGCCGTATGCCCATGAGACGAAGGACGCTCATTCTCGTAACGTCGCCGCCGATGTGACGCCAGACGATGTTGCCGACTTTCCAAATGTGTTGTACAACACTCAAGTCGTAGGATGGAATTTCACCTGTATATAACGGTAAGTAGGCAACGTCGTCGTTGGCCATCAGCGGCCTGACTCGCACGAGGTCTCTCTCGATTGAGCGTCCTTCGGAACCGTTTGCGAACATGAATTCTTTGATCTTATGATTACACTGGAATGACGCGCCATGCAGGAAATAATGCAATCTGAAGTCTGCCCTGATGACCTGGGCGACAAAGGGCGGTGCTACCCATAGCAGCTTATCGAAGAGGCGCTCTGTTTCATAGACGAGACTATTGGCGAAGCGTAAATCTTCGCCAATGGTTGCAACGACGTGCTGGCGCCAATTGCACATCTTGAACAATAGTCCGTGATGCAGCAAACCGTGATTGGCAAACCAGCAGGGTTGTGTTTCCGTCAAACACTTTGCGTCGTTGCAACGCTTCCGTCATAGAGTCCTCTTCAATGCGCAGGCTGTCAAAGGTGAGCACCTCTTCGCACCTCGTCTCTGGCTGTTCGAGAACATAATTGCCGGTGAACTGCGCAACATATCGTATGTGTTGCGCCGCAGTATCCAGCAAGATGCGAGATGCTCTGTCACGCTCGACATATCCACGCATGATCGCATACGTGGATAGGACGCCCGAGGTCGTGGCCATTTTGGCCGCATTGTTATACATCTGTATGTGCGTCACCAAGTTGTTGCAAGCCTGTGGGGAAACGTGCAATGCACAAAAGCCAAAATCGACCGAATTGCCGATCTTGTATCGGTCGATTTTGGCTTTTGTGCATTGCACGTTTCCCCACAGGCTTGCAACTTTAATTTTCTTCCTTTTGCTAAATCGGACAATCTGTCCAACCGGACCAGAATGGCATCGTTGATGAGTAGGAGTAATAGGCCGGTTCTAACCCAGGAGCTCCGAGGGGGGAGCGGGGCGGGGGGGAATTTGCGCGGGGGAATGACGTCACAGGGGTAACCGCCGAGATGTTTACATAAACATGGGCCATGTATGTTTACGTAAACAATGATAGCGGCGGGCCCTGTGAGAATATGAGAGAGGGGATGACATCACCGACGCGGGGATTGCGCACCCCCACCGAACCCCCCGCACCCCCGCATCCCCGCCGCACCCCCGCACCCCCGCGCCATCGCGGGCCGCGTTCGCGGGTCGCGTTTTCGCGCACGCGGTCCCACGCACAGCATTCTCATCTATAGCGCGCTCTCCCTCCCACGCATAGCGCGCCTATAGCGCGCTCTTGCTTCCACGCGCTCTCGCTTACGCGCACGCGGTCTCCCTCGCGGTCTCACGCATAGTGTGACCATAGCGCGCTCTCCCTCCCACGCGTTTTCGCGCCTATAGCGCGTTCTCGCTCCCACGCGCTCTCGCTCCCACGCACGCGGTCCCACGCATAGCGTGCCCATAGCGCGCTCTCCCTCCCTCGCGTTCTCGCTTACGTGGTCTCCCTCGCGATCTCACGCATAGCGTGCCCATAGCGCGCTCTCCCTCCCACGCGCTCTCGCTCTCGCGCACGCGGTCTCCCTCGCGTTCTCCCGCCCACGCGTTCTCGCTTACGCGGTCTCCCTCACGGTCTCACGCATAGCGTGCCCATAGCGCGCTCTTCCTCCCACGCGTTCTCGCTCCCTCGCACGCTACGGCGCCGCTGCCATGCTTACGCGCACGCCGCCGCCATGCTTACGCGCACGCGGTCTCCCTCGCGGTCTCCCTCGCGCTCTCGCTCCCACCCGTTGCTCGCACCCTTTTCGCTTCCGCGCACGCGCTTTCGCCCATTGTGATATATTATATAGGGTTTTAGAAAAAAATGTACAAGTATATTTATGAATACTTAGA